ACGCTTAGAAAACACGTGAAGAGTATGACTCAGTACGCTTTAGATGAATGATAGTGTACACTAGTATTGTAACGATAGTACTACACATGGATTGTACAGTTTGAGATCACTTCTATTATAAATATATAAAGAAATAGAAATATGATAGAAATAGTAATCATAAATAGATTTATTACCGGTTTTTTTTCTAAACGGAGCCTGGATACTTCATTTTTATTGGCCTAACCAGGATAACCATAAATTATTCTAATTGATAATATTAATATGTATACCCTCCCGAAAAAATGGATCTAATTGAACTTCATGCTCCAAATTTTTGATAATTCAATCAATCTTTCTTGGGTGAAGGGGAGGATATCTCAATCGGGGAAGAGAACGGGTACATTTTTTGTGACCTTTTGACATAAAGTTGCTCAGTAGAAGAAGAAGAAAAATGTGAAATCTATGTTACAAGGATTGTTTAAACATTGCATATTGGAGTGGATTTTTTATGTTTAAGATATTGGAGACAACTATAATTTTGTTTGGATAATGATATGTATGCGAGCTTACCGTTACTTTGCAAGTGGAAGGAAGCGCAGTCTATGAGCTTGCCCACATAGTTTCAACATGTCAAAACTTGATCTTAAATACATATAAAACTATGGCTCTAATCAAAATACATATTACTTGGCTTTGGTTGTTAGGATTACGAGAAGCATTCCATCAAAGCAAACTCTGTGTCTTAAGCCTACAACTAGCGTAGCTAGAGTTCGTTATTTGGTTGTTGGCAATAAGAATGGTTATTTGTTAGTATATTAAGTTAGGGTTTGAACGACAACTAACAATCTTACTCTATCTCATAAACCCTTAACATCATCCCAAGTTCTTTATGATTGGATAACATTATCTAAAGTTCAACTCAATCGTTAAATTTAAAATACATATAATCTTCGATAAATTTAAAATCCATATAATCTTCGAAATTTTAGGTGTAATAATATAACATTTTCATTTAGATTTTCAATATTTTCCCAACTTATAAATAGAGGACGTATCGTAGTTATTTATTTACAGTTTACAAAGAGGGAGAGCAATTGAAAGAGGGCGAAGTCTATGCAAATTTGCTTGAAGAAAAAAGGCTTAGCAGTTAGAGTTTTTACCTCGACCAAATCAAAGCAACGAATGATAAGGTAGAAAATCGTCTGTTTGAGCGAGTAAATATTCTCTATATGATAAACTCACTTTGCTTTTTGTTTAAGGTTTGATGGGGGACTCAATTCTCCTTTAGGTTTGTGTTAAAGTCTAAACAAGCGTCACCAGATGCTATGTGACATACAAATCAAATTAAACTCACTCGCAACTTTCAATTAACTTTTTAATATGTCAAAACTTTATCCAACAAGTGAAATCGCTCCATTGTGACATCCCCACTGGGAACACCCCTTGATGGTTATTTTCAATGATCGAAGGAAGGATTGAGTTTTGTCTAGGGATGGTAATTTTCGAAAACTCTGAATTTTGCTTATTTTTCTATTAGACACTAAGCATACAAACATGTGGCTACTGGGCTACTCAATTTATTCTATAATGAAATATTTATCGGCTTATTTTTCAACCTATACCTAAGCTTGAATATACTATTTAATAGTTATGTTTGGACGATTATATAGGATTAGCTACAATATTTATATGTATTTAAAATAATTATCATTTAACAGTCAGATATGCCATTTCACAAAAAAAAAAAAAAAAAAAGCTGAAATGATTATATTAAATACATGTAAGTATTGTAATCAAATTCTGATTGAATGTTCGGTTTGTCAAAAAAAAGATATTTGTGATCACAAAACGCACCGTTTCTTGTCTATCAGTAATTCCCTCCCTCGTCCAAAAACCCCCACCAAAACACAGCAGAGCTCAGCAGGCTGCTCCCAAATCATAAGACAAAAAAATCAAAATAACAAAAATCTTCAGATATGGTTCTGCTTCACCTCCCAAGAACCCACATATCCCTCTCCACCCATTTCTCTCTATTCCCAAAACCCAAAACCCCCGCCTTCGCCACCGCTACAACTCTCCCCCCAATCCTCACCTCCGTCCTCTTCTCCGCCCCCAAATCCACCCTCTCGGCCTCCGAACCCATACCCATTTCCGAATTGCCGGAACCCCAAATCGAACCCCCTCAGGAATTCGAAACCCACATCGAAATCCCGCTCGAGAAGCTCTTCGTGCCGCCGGAAACCGAGGTGTCGTACACCGACGCCGGTGCTCTGAGCACCCGAATCTTGAAAGGGTCCAATATTCTGCTCAGTAAGTACGCCAGGAACGCTCAGGTGGAGCAGGCCGAGTTCGTGAAGAGCAGTGTGAGGACTGAGGATTGCCCCTCTGATGGTCTCCCGGAGTTTGCTCTCGTGGGTCGGTCCAATGTCGGCAAGTCCTCGCTGCTCAACTCGCTCGTGCGACGGAAGCGCCTCGCTTTGACGTCCAAGAAACCTGGTCAGAAATTTGTACTGTAACTTCAATCAATTCAATTTTCAATTTTTGGGTTGGATGCATTATTCAAGTCCTATAGCGAAGAAAACCCAACTAAAAATTAGTATTCGTTTGATTCGGAGTGCCGGTTTATTGAAGATTTCGCCATAAGCTCAACAAATTTTAGGATAATGTTGTTGCTTTGCTTGATTGTGTTGTGAAGTTTAGTAGAGTTTGAGAGATACCCTGATGTATGGCATTGTGGCGTTTTGGTTTGTGGTTTGATCATGCGTTCTAGCATCTTAATTCGCTTTTCGTTCATTCTTTCTTGCAGGGAAAACACAATGTATCAATCATTTTCGGATCAATGATGGCTGGTACCTGGTGGATTTGCCAGGCTACGGGTATGGCTGAAAGATCTGTCTATTTGATTTCTACGGTTCTTTTTGTTCGTACTAGTCTGAAATTTCGGATGGTAGCTATGATGAAGAATTTAATTTCCGAGAGCTGCGAGGGAGCGCGTTACTTATTGGTTTTAGTTTCTTTACAGTTTGTATTATGCTGGGATTCGTTCTGTTCCTATGATTATGCTCCTGCTAAAAACAAACACGAGACTGCTGATTTCTCCCTTGTTTATGTGAGTTTCTACTGATAGTCTTGTCGTATCCTTGTGTGTTGTGTAACCTGGCAGGTATGCAGCTGCACCACAGGAACTTAGAACTGACTGGGTTAAGTTTACTAAAGACTACTTCCTGAACAGGTCGACATTAGTTTCGGTTTTCCTTCTCATCGATGCCAGCATTCCTGCCAAAAAAATTGATCTGGAGTATGCTAGTTGGCTGGGTCAGAATCAGGTAATATCCTTTATTTACATTTAATCCTCAGATTACCAGATTGAATGACGTTAGCTTTCCGCGGGGGGGGGGGGCATCTCCGGGCACTAGAGATTCCGACCAACACACACTTGTTTATTTTCTTCAGAATGATGAAGAAACATACATGGTTATTCTAATCTTGAGTTGGCCTTCCTAAACATATCCGGCCGAAAAGTTTCAGTTTTTCGTTTTGTATATGCGAAGGAGAGCATGTCCCTTGGTTGGATGTCACTAAGCAGTCGTAAAAACTAAAAGGGCGTTTTCTTGAGCATGCTTCTAATTCTATGTGCCCTTACAGATTCCTATGACTTTGATATTCACCAAATGTGACAAGCGGAAAAAGAAGAGGCACGGAGGGAAGAAAGCAGAAGAAAATGTGCAGGATTTCCAGGAGTTAATAAGCGGCTTCTTCGAGACCGTGCCTCCATGGATTATGACCAGCAGCCTGACCAATCAGGGTCGTGATGAGATGCTATTACATATGGCTCAGCTGCGGAACTACTGGCTGAAGCACTAGGAAAACCGAAAACTTGAATCGTGCCATCACAATCTCAAGTGGGTCTGCTGTCTGAATTGTTCAGATAAATCCAAGTACAAGAACCTGTGATAAAATCCCAACATCACACGAAGTATTTTATCCACGAAGACTTTGTAAGTTGTTGCATCTGAAAATGGTGTTTAAATTGGCAGCCATAAATTGAGGAAAAGGAGAGACAATGTGATTAATTTGGCAAATGCTAATAGTTGCTCGATTTTGTTGTTGAAATGGAAAATTTTCCGTTACAACTTTGTGCTCCCTTAATCTCGTGTAAACCTATTGAAATCTTTATTTAAAGTTCAGGAACCATAATCTTTGCATTTCGACATTGTGCTCCTTTTGTAACTTACATATTTGTATCCCAGCCTGCATCAACTTGTTGTCTATATTAATCACAGATTGAACACTTACTAAACTGGTAAGAAATCAAACAAATCCAACTAAACTTGTAAGAAATCAAGCAAATCCAAAAATCTCCACAAGGGTTGAGAAGTTGTTTTGGGATTGCACCCTAATCATGTACTTCTAAACATCCTGTGTTCCTTCCTGTTATCCCTTTTCAGTTCATATTCTTTTTAGGTCCAAGTTCTAACCCAAGATCTCGGATGCAAGAGTACAATCCCTAACCTCGGGTGCAAGATTCAATCCTAAGACCTCAGGAGAGATTCAATCCCAAGACCTCGGGCGCAAAATTTCAATCCTAGGACCTATGCAAGAGTTTGAACCCAAGACCTATGGCGCAAGAGTTCGAACCCACGACCTCAGGTGCAAGGGTTCAAACTCAAGACCTCAGGTACAAAAGTTCGATCTCAAGATCTAGGGTACAAGATTTAAATCTAAAGACATCAGGTGCAAGAGTTTGAACTTAAGATATAGGGTGCAAGAGTATAATCCCAAGATATCAGGTGCATGAGATTGACGCCAAAAGTTTCGGTGAAAGCATATTCCCAAGACTACGAATGCAAAGTGATCTTAATCACTTAAATTACAAGCACCTTAGCATCCGAGTTAAATGTGCAACCTATTATAATTCCAATTCATTAACAAAAGCGAGGCAACTTCAATCTTCGGAAGATACTATGAAGCTAAAGACATGCTAGGATCAACCCAACTAGAAAAATAAAGGCCAAATGTAATTGTAACTGAGAGTCATTTCCATTCATATCAAAATGCAGCTGCGAACCGAGACAGTCTAAACAAAATTCAAGTGAAATTCAGTACTATCAAGACAACTAAACAAAATTCAAAACGAAATCCAAACAGGTTTGAGTTCAGTGGGCTCTGAAAACTTATGAGGAAGCGGCAGCAGATCCCTTGCTCCTTGGAGCAGCCTGTGTACCTTCAAGGAAGCCGCTCTTGAACCTCCTCGGCACATTCCTCAGGTACCTCATCCGCCCAGTTCCGGTAGTCTTTCGGCGCAGCGCCTTCTCACTCCAGTTATCTGAAACAACCCCAAATAATAAAAAATTAAAAGTTGCACACTTAATTACATATAATTAATTCAAAAAATTAAAAATAAAAGTTGGGTAGGCTTACATTTTCTGAGACGGGCAGCAGGGTAGGCGCAGGCGGAGCAGCGGCTCTTCTGGAGGTGGAAGCTGCGGCGGCCGCACCGCACACAGAGAGTGTGGGTCTTGTTCCTCCTCTTTCCGAAACTTCCTGTTCCTTTGCCCTAATTCATATTCCCAAATTTACACCATTACAATCGTAATTATAAACTAAACTGTTATCGGAGCTAGAAATTGAGAGAGATGAGAGATCGAGAGAGAGTACCATTTCGTTGGTTGCAGAGAAAAACCCTAGATTTCAGAGGAGTTGCGGGAAATCTCTCACGGACCAAGGTTCAGCTGTTTATATGGTCGTCGTCAGCGACTAGATTAGGGTTTCACTTCCAACGTTGGGCCTTATTTGGACTGGAAATGTGGGCCCAATGATAATCACAGGCTTCTCATTTAAATGGGCCCTCTAGTCTGATCGAATGAAGCCCATTTTGTGATACACGTCCATGTCTTGCTGAACCCTTATTAAATTAGTGAAATAGTGACGTATTAGTACTTGCGGGGATAGCTCAGTTGGGAGAGCGTCAGACTGAAGATCTGAAGGTCAGGTGTTCGATCCACCTTCACCGCAATTGATTTTTTTTCTTTTCACAATCTTATTATCTGCAATTTTTTTGTTTATTTGTAAAAGGAAAAATACAGACAGTATGGACTTTAGTTAGCTTAACAACTCGAAGTGGTCCTTTTGTGAAAACAAAAATCAACGCAATTTGAACTCAATAACAAAACGAGATTAAGTGTCGCTTTTAGAGTGCATACATAAGTGACCCAGCCCACCTCATTCTGGCTGATCACTATACCCAAATGGCCACCAACATCGTAATAATATGAAAACTTCCTAATCACACAATTATAGAACTATAATTACATGGTGGTGTGTATATATCATATCAATCACGTACATTGTACGTGGAAGATATATAATACTTTTCATGATGCATCAACGAAGAACTAACTTGAACAATGTCGATAGGGCAATAAGTGGGACACACCAAGATATCAAAACATCAACAATTCAAATTCGATTTTTCAAAGTATATTACCAAAGTGGTTGAATTGGCACCATCTTTCTCTCATCTGGGTTGTTTTTATACCATTTGGTGACAGACATTCCAGATGAAATACTATTCATGATTACAGAGTGAGCCCCGTTATCGTCGACTTGTGACCGTAGATTGGTGGACAATTTCCGTTGGCTAATGACTCGGTGCCATCTGATCGTGATACTGACTTTGTGCATGGCAGTCAATTTATAAAGTTAGGGCTGGAAATGGTCCATCCCCATGCATATCATGTACAAATCAAACCGTTAGGGTGATCAATTTCTTGGACCACAAGCAATTAAAGCAATTAAGGCAATTTTTAAGCCGACTATAAAAGAATTGATGGTCCTTATTGGCGTCCATGTACTCAATCATATATATATATATATATATACATATATATGTATGTATATATATATATATATGTATGTATGTATGTATGTATTACGTACCTCCTAAATTACCCTATCATTAAGCTTGTGGATGATATACAAAACTCACAAAGGACCACTTTGAGTTGTTCAGCTAAGTGCATTTGCTTAAAGATGCTTTCATTTGTGTTGTTGATTTGGCTAAGTTCGTAGTTAGCTTTTTAATATGGTTCTTAAAACCTAATTTGCTTTATATCATTCTTTATCTAATTGTAGGCTTATTTGACTGAACTATATAAAGGGCGGAGAGGGAGAGGGGGTCGGAGGCAACAAGAGAGAAAAAGAGAGATTTAATTCTGAGGTGTGTGTTATATCACCCCCTTATGCCTTTATTTATAGTAGTAGGATAGGTAGAATCCTTACCCTTTTTAGGATTACATCTCTTAATAGGTAATCAACTCCTAATAGGAATAAACTAGATACTCCTACCTATATATTAGGATTTACACAATCACATTCCTAATCCAATAGGACTGCAACACTCCATTTTGAGTGTGTAAATACTCAAACAAAACGTCGCATCAGATCTTCAACAGATGGGGTAGAATAGTTGATGAAGTCATCGACATAACTGGTGAACACGAGTCTCAAACACAAGTAAGTAAGTATGCATTGGTAGTAAAACTCTCAAAATCTCGCTATGGTAAAACCCATAGGCTAAGGAGAAAAGTGAGAAGTATGCATAATGTCTAAAACGAACGTCAAACATGACGAAAATAGTGAACTCAATGGAGTATCATCATCCCAGGATGGGTGCCTAATCGTAGGAAAAAGAGTACATTAAGATCAAGCGAGTATGCTTTAGAATACTCCATCTGAGTTAGACATAACTTACAAATAAGAGAACTACAAGCGATTTAATTCAGATAATTTACGCATACCGATTCCTTGGATGAGCTTTTGAAAAGTAGACTTAGGCAATGACTTCGTGAAGAGGTTGGCCAGGTTGTCCTGGGAATGGATTTGTTTGACTTCAATGTTCTGATGTTGTTGTTGCTGGTGAAAATAAAAAAACTTCAGCGATATGTGCTTGGTGTTGTCTCCCTTGATTTATCCTTTCTTTAACTGCTCGATACATACTGCATTGTCTTCAAAGATCATCGTAGGAAGGTTAACGATGGAAGAAAGACCACTAATGCTTCGAATATATTCCATAATTGCTCTTAGCCAAAAGCATTATCGGGAGGCTTTATGCAGGGCGAGAATCTCAACATGGTTCAAAGAAGTCGCAACTAGCATTTGCTTGGTAGACCTCCAAGATATAGTGGTGTCTCCAACGGTAAAGACATAACCTGTTTGAGAATGTGCCCTATTTGGGTCAGACAGATAACCAGCATCTACGTAACCAGTGAGGCGAGAATCAACCCGAGGACCGAAGAGGGCAACGGTTCCTCTCGAGAATTCGTGGGTGTGGAATAAGCCCAAATCCATCGTACCTGATGCCAAAATTATCTTAACACACAAATTTAACCCTCTTTTGACAACTGTAGTATAAGTATAAGTAGGGATCGTTCTAGACCGGGGATTAGGAGGGCTTGCTAGTAACCTCTAAACTGACTCAAAAACATAAAACTAAACTTAAAAATACTTAACAAGACTCACAAGACTCAAAGCAAACTTAAAATACTCAAACCAGCTTAGAACAACTAAATAAACTTAAACTAGACACTAAGAATGATTTTGGACGAAAATTGACTTTTACTTGAATCAAAACATTTAAAAACACAAATTAAAACCGATTCTAACTAATTAGACACACTAAAGTAATGGGGGATTGAGTTTTGGACGAAGTTGAAACAAACAAACAAGTATGAAAAACTAGACAGATTGTAAAACAAATTTGAGAAATAAGATGATGGATGGGATAGCTAGAGGCTTTTTCTCCACACATGACATGTATGCAAATAACTCGATTTCCAGTTACTACTTCATTGAATTATGAACGACAATACTCCAAATTAATCGTGACATCACTAGTTAACTCTTAGATTTTCCTTGTTTTATTGGATTGGATGACATCATTCGACAACCCAAAACATTCTTCTAAAGTTCCCTACATGACATCATAATGGAGATACAATAAAAGATCATTACGTTTAATGAAAATCATAAGTATTGACAAAGCACTTGCAACTATGACATCATGTCACTCATGCTAGGAATTGAATTTAACGCAATCGTTTATAAGCGACCTTCACTACATGTGAATATAAGTTTGTAACGATTATGTGAAACTTCCTTATATTCTAGCAACGGATTTATGCATGCCAATTAAGTGTCGACCCTTAATTAACAAATACAAATAAGTTATCAATCAAATAGTTAAGCCAACTGCATTCACGATTCAAGAGTTTATAACTGGAATTTATCAAATTATATTGCACACATAATCATGGCTTTGAAATCACCCCTAGCCAAGAGGGGTTTAGCCACTCATATTCACAACAAAACAAAAGAAAATGAATTTAAACATTGGAAACAAAAGAAAGAAAACACCTAAACGCTCCAACGATCCAAGTTGGACAGCAAGCATGTCCAAGCACATTCCTTCCATTCCTTTGCTACGGCACAAGGTGTTGGTAAGTGTTTGAAGGTTTGTTTGTATGGAGGAATGGATGTGAACATGAATGGATGTGTTTGGATGAAGGTTGTATTGAATACAGCAAAGAGTGGAGAATTGTGTAGATGATGTGTGTGTGTTTTGGATGGATTTTTTTCCCTTGTTATGGTGAATGGTGGATGTATTTATAGGCTAGGGAGAGGATCACCATTTAATTAAGGTGGTAATGGTGTATGTTGTGGTAATGAGTGGATGTAATGGGTGTAGTGGGTGAATGTTTGGTAATGAGTGGATGTAATGGGTGTAGTGGATGAATGTTTGGTAACGAGTGGATGTAATGGGTGTAGTAGGTGAATGTTTGGTAACGAGTGGATGTAATGGGTGTAGTGGGTGAGTGTTGTGGTAATGAGTGGATGTAATGGGTGTAGTGGGTGAGTGTTTGGTAATGAGTGGATGTAATGGGTGTAGTTGATGGATGTTTGATAATGAGTGGATGTAATGGGTGTAGTGGGTGAGTGTTGTGGTAATGAGTGGATGTAATGGGTGTAGTGGATGAATGTTTGGTAATGAGTGGATGTAATGGGTGTAGTGGATGGATGTTTGTAGTTGTAGGTCAACACACTTGCACACATACATGCTGATTTCTAGCCTTCAAATCTTCAAAAACGTCTATCCTCATGTCTCCATGCTTGCACTATCCAATCTTGGCCCCAAAATGCTCCAAAATGCTCCAAATAGCACTTTGTTGCTAACTTTGTTATTTGAACCTACAAACACACGAAAATAGCTTAAAGTACTAAAAAACTAGAATTAAACTAAGTAAATGCCAAGAAACAAGCTAACTAAGTTGCATAAATATGCTCCTATCAGTACCCTTGAAGTAACGGAAAATGTGTTTAACACCATTCCAATGTTTACGTGTAGGCGCGTTGCTGTATCTAGCCAAAAGATTAACAACGAATGAGATGTTTGGTCTAGTGCATTGAGCCAAGCACAATAAAGCACCAATTGCACTTAGGTATGGAACTTCAGGCTCCAAAATCTTCCTCATTCTCATTTGGACGGAAGGGATCTCGTTTAGCATCTAGAGTACGAATGACTATAGGAGTACTCGAATGCTACACTTTATCCTTATTAAAACGTCGCAACACCTTCTAGGTGTAGTTCGATTGATGTACTAGGATTCCATCCGAACAATGCTCGATCTCCAAGCCAAGAGAATATCGAGTTTTCCCAAGATCTTTCATCTCAAATTCTGATTTCAAGTGCGTGGCAATTTCCTCAAGCTCTGCGGAAGTTCCAATGAGGTTCATG